CTGACCCTGAACCGGACCCAGATGCACAACGCCGGCTTTGGGCCCCTCACAGACCTCGTCTTTGCCTTTGCTGGGCAGCTCCTGCCCCTGGAGATGGATGACACAGAGACAGGCCTGCTCAGTGCCATCTGCCTCATCTGCGGAGGTGCGGGGGCGCCCCCTGGCGTTTACTCGGACTCCTTTCCCACCGCACCCCATACCTGCTGTCTGACCAGGCAGGAGACCTTGGTCCTTCCCCTGGGGCATTGTTGCACCTGCCCCATGCACAGACTTCTCAGGTCCAGTACAGGCTCCGCAGCAGCCCTGGGGCACAGGACAGAAAGGAGAGCAGAGCCAGAGAGAGAGCTGAGGAGATCCCAGATAACTGGTGCTGAGATAGGGGTTGTGGGCAAGAATGATTTACCAGAGGGGAGAAGGTACGGGGCTCAGAGCAGGGCAGGTGGTCTGGGTAGGCTCAGGAACAATAGGCAAAGGGCTGATGCGACAGAGTGGGGGGGCCTGGGAGGCCGTAGGGCAGGGCCAGTTGGGGATGGGCCACCTGTCACTGTCTCTCCCATCTCTTCCTCTCTCACTGCACTGTGCTTGTTCCTGTAGACCGCATGGACCTGGAGGAACCCGAGAAAGTAGACAAGCTGCAGGAGCCACTGCTGGAGGCCCTGAGGCTCTATGCCCGCCGGCGGCGGCCCAGCCAGCCCTACATGTTCCCAAGGATGCTCATGAAGATCACCGACCTCCGGGGCATCAGCACCAAGGGTCAGTCATGAGGGAACCTCTCCTGTCTCCTCCTGGACCTGCTGGTGTCTCGGGTCAGGCGGGCAGACAAGCAGAGACCAGAACAGAGAATCAGGCGGTCTACATTGGAATCCTAGCTCAGCTGCAGGCTGGTGGGGAGACTTCGGGCAAATTCCTTTACTTGCTGTACCTTGTTTTCCTGTTTGAAAGCCGGGCTATCCTTAGACTTACCCTATCAGTAATTGTGAGGACTAAGCGAGTTAACAGAGCAGGCTTAGAACTGCTCTGAATTAAAAATGCCAATTCCTCAGTGGCTGTAGCCCCATTTCAAGTGCCCAGGAGCTAGTGAGGACCGTACTGGGCGAAGCAGATAGTTCCATCATCACAGAAGATTCTGTTGGACGGTGATGATTCAGAAGGATGCGTGGCAGATAGGGGTTCAATAAGTATTAGCTATTATTATAAAGCTTGGTAAGAAACGGCCTAGGCACAGTTGGCTAGCTGTGGACCTGGGAAAGTGGAGTGCTTGGAGAATGGGACTGACAGTTGGGCTGGGTGTGATCTTTGAGCCTGAAGCATGGGATGAGTGGGCAGCAGACTCGGCAGAGAAGGCAGGTAGGAGCTGCAGGCAGAGGAGTGGCCTCCAGGAGCCCTGGAGTAGGGAGAGGGTGAGCTGGGACAGAGAGGTGGCGGGCTTGTGCTGGGAGCCCCCGGAGGGAAAGGTTAGGGAGGTGGTCTCAGGGGGCGTGGGCCTCTGCTCCCCTGAACCTCTTTGTCCCTCTGTTGCAGGAGCAGAAAGGGCCATTACCCTGAAGATGGAGATTCCAGGCCCGATGCCTCCCCTAATCCGAGAGATGCTGGAGAACCCCGAAATGTTTGAGGACGACTCCTCGCAGCCTGGTCCCCACCCCAAGGCTTCTAGCGAGGATGAGGTTCCCCGGGGCCAGAGCAAAGGGGGCTGCAGCCCCCAGCCTGACCAGGGCCCCTGACTTCCCCTGCTGTGGGGGTTGGGGCTCCAGGCAGCAGACTGACCATCTCCCAGACACTGCCAGTTACTGGGGGAGGACCTGCTCTGCCCTCTCTCCACCCCTTCCAATGAGCTCCTTGTTTTTGCCAAAGTTTCCAGGGGTGCCTCTGTGTTCATCCCCTTCCTGCTCTAACTGGCTCCCTCTCCGGTCTCGGGGCCCTGCCCTGTTCCCACCAGGAGAGAGGGCAGAGGGGTGAGCCTCAGTTTGGACTCTAAAATCTCAGCACTGCCCGTCAGACACCAGGGACCCAGGCTCCCCAGGGCAGGAGGAAGACCCTGCCAGCTCCACAGCCCCTTCCTCTTCCAGGTGCTTAGGCCTCTGGGAGCAAACAGGAACACTAGAGACCAAGAAGGGGGCATGGCGGGGAGGGCTGAGCCCACCCTCTTGCCCCTGCCCTTGGTGCCTCATGCTGCGTAACGCACCTGCCGGGTGCATGCTGCCCTCCGTCCCCCGGCCTCGTGCCAGGTCAGGTTGGGGCAGGCTGGGCCCTGCATTTCTGTGGGTGCCAGAGGGTGAAAGGGACAGATGCAGGTCCATTCGGCACCTCTTTGCTTGGGCCCAGAGTTGACCTTGTGCCCTCCGTTACAAGCCCCTCCCCTGGCCCCATCACGTGCCTTGGGCTTCCCCTGCCTCCCATCTCAGCCACCGGGGCAGGGACCCTCCTACACTACAGAGGGACCAGGGGATCCGTCTCCCCCTAGTGCCTTCCCCCTACCTTGATCTCCAGAGCAGCTTGGCCCAGGGGAGGGGGGGTGGGCGCTGCTTAGCTGATCCTTCCCTGACCCAGAGGAAACCTCTATTTATTTATTAGCTTTTGTTTACACCCTGGACTTGACCCCTTCCTCCAGGGGTCTTGGGAGGGGGAGCCCAGGGCCCCTGTGACCCCTCCCTTCTTCCTCCAATCCCCAGTTTGTATTTAGCTGCCAAATAAGATTCCCACTTGGCTCCCCTTTTTTTCTGGGGGGTCAGGGTGCTGTCCCCTCCCCTCTGTTTACATCTCCCCTCCACCCCGCTGTGTCGCATATTGCTGAGTTTTCTATTTTTGCAAAATAAAGTGATGGAAACTCATGGCATGTGGCTCCCTCTGGGAGGTGGTAGGGGAAATGACCAGCCGACCTGGAGAGGGGCTGGATGAGGAAGGTGAGCTCCTAATCTACTGGATTTTGCAGCTTTCTTAGGGAAACCAAGGGAATTGGATGAGATGCGCCTGGATGGGGGTGGTGGGAGGGTGGGAGAAAGGGAGCCCACAGGGGGCCTACCCTGGGTGTCTGGGCCTCCCACCGCCACCAGGTGTGGGTTCTTAGATTGGACCCTGTAGACCTCTGGGAAGGTGTGAATGGGCCCAGACATCTTTAAGCTGTCCCCACAGCCCCGGTTATGAATATGTGCATATCTGCCCTTCTCTGGGGAGGGCCTTCATTGAAGCTGCACTCAGGCTCTCATGAGGGTTTCTGGCCCCAGAAGAAAAGAACCACAGTCTGCATCTAAGTTACAGTGTTTCTGTTTTACACCAACCCTCTCTTTACTTCATGAGCTCCCCCACTCTGTGACCCCACTATCACCTTAGAAATCACTCCCTCTGCCCCTTCTGACCCCACTTCACCTCATGACCCCACTGTTAACCTTCTGTCCTAATATCTCTCCTTGCCCCTACATGCCTTACCTCTGCAACACCCCCACCCTCAGCCCACTGCCTGTGGCCTCTACCACGGTGTCCTGTGCTCTTCCCCTCACCCTCTGTGACTCCCCCTCCACGCTCCGCCCAACACACACACACCGTGGCCCACCTTCCTTGCTGGACCAGCGCCCTGCCTACCTTATGCCTGGCTTTCTTCACGGATGACCTGTGCATATGGGAGAGAGGTTGGGGATGTGGGAGTCGGGGAGGAGAGAAGAGTGAGGAAAAGCAGAAGAAGAAAGTGAAAGAAGCTGTGGAGGAAACCACAGAGCCTGTGGGGAAGGAGGGGTCATCTCCATGGTAACCCCTGCTTGTGGGGGGAAGGGTACAAGGTCCAAGGTCTGGTAGGCTGAGGCCACCTGAAGAAGCACCCCCCCCCCCCCCCCCGGGAAGGAGCCCCTCTGCCCCAGGCGCTCCTCCCAGCAGCTGCACTCCTACCATCCACCTGCTGCTCACTGCACACCCACAGAGATCGACACTTGTCTAGGTGTGGTGACATGTCAGTCCCTGCCGCAGACCTGTGAACACAGATCTCCAGTCCAGCTCCTTCTCAAAGCTCCCTGCGGTCAGGTGTGGGCTGGGAGCGGGTATTCTCCACACCCCCTTCTCCGTCCCAAGCTTCATCCTCGCCCCGGCTCCAGCGGCCATGCCCCTACCCTCGGCTTCTCCCATTCGCCTCCTCTGCGCCTTTCCCAGCCTCCACCGCCACCTTCTTGGCACAGTGGGCCCCCCTCCAAGTCTCATTCTCTGAGCCTGGCCCTGTGTCTGTCTCCAACTTCCCAGCTGTCCAGACCTTGAATTTCTCAGCCTCTCCACTTCTCACCGAGCTCCTTCTCATCCACGGAGCCCATTATCAAGCCCTTAGGTTGTCCCGGGGTCTCTTGGAAGCCATTGATGTGAATTATCTCATTTAATTCTCGCAGCAATCCTCAGTTGCACGGGACCGGTGAGATGAGGCCACAGGAAGGCTAAGTAACTATGTAAGTTCCCACTGCTGTCATGAGAGAGCCAGGACTGGAGCTCGGGCAGCTTGGCCCCAGAGCCTATGGAGTTCAGCAGCCAGCATGATAGAGTGGGCACTGGGTTTTCAAAATTAGTGCCCATAGTCCCTAACATCCCCCTTCCCAGTACTTACTGCCTCCATATGTCTGCCTTTCCTGTCATGTTCTTGTATGAAGAAGTGGAGCGGCCACATCAATTTAGGAAGTGGGCAGCCCAGGATGGAAACCCCACCCAGCCAGTTGCTAGCTATGTGGTCTTGGGCAAAGATTTTCATTTCTTACCTCTGAGTCGCAACATCTACCTTTCCTCTTAGCCTCTGCATCTGTAAAATTTGGGGGCTGGGGGGATATTAACCTGTGACTATGTCAGGGGTTAATTATAATATCGTGGTACGCCCAGCATGTAATAGGTGCTCAGTAGCCAGACAAGCTTCCTTGCTTCCTTCCAGATCCCTGTATCATCACCCCCCTCAGCTCAGTTCCACCCCTAGGGGCTCCACCTTCTCCTAGGTCAGTTACCCCACCACCCCGAAATCTCCTCCACCCCACCCCAGGGCGTGTCACTTCCTCCTCTGCAGCCTCCCAGATCAGTACACAAAGGCAACAACGGCTGCTGGAGGAAGGGCTGCTCTTCACACACCCGTGAGTACCAGGGCACCAGCCCTCTGCCTCCTCTCCTTACCCGCCCAATCCCCCCAAGTCCCCCCCCTCCAGGGAAGAGGGTTTCAGCTTCTGACCTGAAGACACCCAGGATCCGGCTGAGACTGGGGAAAGGCTCTGAACTCCTTTCTGCATTCCTAAGATCCTCTTCCCAGTTCCCTCCTCCAGTTTCTCAAGCTCTGCCCCCCCCACCCCTACCCATCTCTCCTGCATGGGTTTCCCAAAAGTGGGGCTGGAGGGAGGCAAAGAAGGTAGGGGGTGTATGATTGCCATCATTTGAGTGCCCGCCATGTGCCAAGGATTATGTCAAGGTGGGGCTCTCCCAGTCTGAGTCCCCAGCTGCTATAGCCCTGCTCCCAGTTCCCGGTGCTCAGCTCAGCTCTGCCAGTGGCACCTTGGCTGTGGATACCACAGCCCTGGAAGACCGTGGCCCAGTGGCTCAGTTCTCTTCCCTCCTCGTGCCGCCGAATGGGCAGCAGAGGATTCCACTTGATTTGGGAGGTCTGGATGGGTTGGGAAAATGCTGTTTCTCAGGTGCTGAAGGGGGATGTTAGGGTGTGTATTGGAGGCAGAATCGAGTCCAGGAAAACGGGACAATTACAGAGGGAAAGAAGGGAAGACGGAAGAAGAGCCCTGCAAGGGAAGAGAAAGGGGATCAGGTGGAGCCCACTGGAGCTGGTTGGGAGAAGGCATAACTTTTGATGATGATGGTGCTGGGGTTGGAGGGGAGGAAAGTGGCAAACAAACCGAGCCTCACCTGTCTTAATCCCTATTCGCTGTGTGACTGTGGGCAAGTCACTTATCACTCTGGGATTCAGGTTTCCATTTGTAAAAAGAGGGGGATGAAGTAGACAACTCTGCTCCTCTATGGCTAGGATAAGAGGGAAAAGGAAGTAAAACAAAGACCTGTAAAGAAGTGGAGAAGAGAAAAGCAGCAGAAAGATGTCACCAAAGTTTTGAATAGCTGGGGGGAAGGGGGAGAGAGACATTAACAGAAACAAGTAGCAGGTCGTGTACTCCCAAGTTAGCAAGAAGAGGGAAAACTGGGAGAAGGGGGTTGGGAAGTCCTGTGCAGGGAATCCCAGGGGCTCCTTTTAGGGGAGATGAGTGGGTTTGAGGTCTCTGGTTCTGTCCAATCCTGGGGGCCCCACCTTGACGGATGAGTCAAAACGGGGCTTTGTGCTGCAGCATCATCTGCCTTCTCGACCACAGGCCCGCTGAGCAAGCAGGGTTGAGGTTACAGAGGCTGAGCCCTGGGCCGGCCTCGCACAGGAGGGGGCTCAGAGACATATACATACATACATATATATATATATATACACACTGCACCTGAGGGCCCAAGTGGTGGGGAGCGGGGAGCAGAACAGCTGAGGTCAACAACTTGGCACCCCACCCTTTCCCCACGCTGTACAGAGAGAGCACCAGTCTGAATCTAGACCCAGGCGGGGGAGGATGCAGATGCGTCAGGCCAAGGATTTAGTTGGCCTTTCTCATACACACACCACTGGTGGGAATATAAACCGACACAGTTGCTAAAGAGGTTATGTCAGTGATATGCGCCAACATTACAGATGATACCTATTTAGTGACCCCACAAATCCTCTTCCAGGGACTTTAAAAAAAATATTTATTTATTTGCCAGAGAGAGCGAGGGAGAGCACAAGCAGAGAGTGCAGCAGGCAGAGGGAGAAGCAGGCTCCCCGCTGAGCAGGGAGCCCGAAGTGGGGCAGGATCCCAGAACCCTGGGACCACAACCCGAGCCAAAGGCAGACGCCTAACCGACTGAGCCACCCAGGTGCCCCTAAAATTTATCATTTTAGCCATTTTTAAGTGTGCATTTCAGTGGCATTAAGTACTTTTACAATGTTGTACAACCATCACCACTATCTAGTTCTAGAAGTTTTTCTTCACTCCAAAAGGAAACTGCCCAACAAGCAGTTATTCCTCATTCTCCCCTCTTCCTCAACCCCTGGCAACCACCATCTATTTTCTGTTTCTGTGAATTTGTCTAGTCAGAAGAGTTCACATGAACGGAGTCATACAATGTGTGGTCTTTTGTGACTGGTTTTGTTCACTTAGCATTGCTTTTTTTTTTTTTTTAAAGATTTTATTTATTTATTTGACACAGAGAGAGACACAGCGAGAAAGAGAGCACAAGCAGGGGGAGTGGGAGAGGGAGAAGCAGGCTTCCCGTCGAGCAGGGAGCTGGATGTGGGACTCGACCCCAGGACCCCGGGGTCATGACCTGAGCCGAAGGCAGACGCTTAACGACTGAGCCACCCAGGCGCCCCTTAGCATTGCGTTTGCAAGATTCATTGAATCAGAGCATGTGTCAGGACCTCATCCCTTTCTATGGCCAAATAATATTCCATTGTGTGGTTATAGCACATTTTGTTTATCCTTTCATCAGCGGATATGTTTCTACCTTGAGGCTATTGTGAATGGTACTGCTATGAACATTCATGCACAAATTTTTGTTTTAATTAACTTACTGAGGATTTATCAAACTGTGTTGCACCATTTTACATTCCCACCAGCAATATATGATGGTTCCATATTCTCCACATCCTCTTTTTCTATTTTTAAAAAATTTTATTGGCGCCTGGGTGGCTCAGTCGTTAAGCGTCTGCCTTCGGCTCAGGTCATGGTCCCAGGGTCCTGGGATCGAGCCCCGCATCGGGCTCCCCACTCAGCGGGAAGCCTGCTTCTCCCTCTCCCCATTCCCCTGCTTGTGTTCCCTCTCTCGCTATGTTTCTCTCTGTCAAATAAATAAAAGCTTAAAAAAAAAAATTTTTATTATAGCCATTTACTGGGTGTGAAGTGGTATCTCACTGTGGTATTTCCCTGATGACTAATGGTGTTGTGCATCTTCTTCTGTGCTTGTTGGCCATTTGTCTATCTTCTTCAAAGAAATGTCTACGTAAGTCCTTTGCCGTTTAAAAATGGGGCGGTTTGCCTTTTTGTTGTAAGAGTTCTTTATATATTCTGGATACTTACGAGATATATGATTTGCAAATATTTCCTCCCTTTCTATAGCCTGTATTTTCATTCTCTCCATAGTGCTTTTTGATGCACAGAAGTTTTGTATTTATATATTTATATTTTTACGAAGTCCAATTGACCTATTTTTTTGTTGTTGTTGCTTGTGTTTTTGATGTCATCGTTAAGAATCCATTGTCAAGTCCAAGGCCACAAAGATTTACCCTTCCATTTTCTTCAAAGAACTTATAGTTCAAGGACTTACATTTAGGTCTTTGATCCATTTTCAGTTAATTTTTGTATATGTTGTGAGGTAGGAGTCCAGCTTCCTTCCTTCACATGTGGATAGCCAGTCATTCCGCACCATTTGTTGAAGACTGTTCTCTCCCCATTGAATAGTTTGGCACCTTTGTTGAAAATCAGTCGGCCATAAATGGATGGATTTATTTCTGGACTCTCGATTTTATTTCATCGATCTATATGCCAACCCTTATGCCAGTACCCCATTGTCTTGATTACTGTAACTTTCTAGTAAGTTTTGCAAGTGAGAAGTGAGAGTTCTCCAATTTCATTCTTTTTCAAGATTGTTTTGGCTGTTCAGGGTCCTATGCAATTCCATAGGAAGTATAGGATCAGCTTTTCCATCTCTGTAAAAAGAGGCCATTGCGATTTAACTTTTTGATTTTTTTTTTAAATATGCTTTTTTTTTTTTTAATTTATTCATGAGAGACAGAGAGAGAGAGAGAGGCAGAGGGAGAAGCAGGCTCCCAAGGAGCAGAGAGCCCGATGCGGGACTCGATCCCAGGACCCTGGGATCATGACCTGAGCTGAAGGCAGACGCTTAACCATCTGAGCCACCCAGGCGCCCTTAACTTTTTGATTTTTAAAAAAGATTTATTTATTTATTTGAGAGAGAGCACGTGCACATGCAGGGGAGAGGGGCAGAGGGAGAGAGAATGTCAAGCAGACGCTGTGCTGAGCACAGAACTGGAGGGACTTGGAGCTTGATCTCACGACCCTGATAATCAGGACCCGAGCCGAAAACCAAGAGTCAGACACTTAACCGACTGCACCATCCAGGAGTTCCCTTAACTTTTTGATTTTTGAAGCATGGTTATGGCTTGCTTACTCAAACTGTTAATTAATAAGTTTTTAACAATCAGACATTTGCCTAGTTCTCCCTAGAGGTCATTCCAGGAATTACCCTGCCTTCAGGCTCTTTCTTCAATCTATATTTGCAAAGTACAAGAAAGAGAAAATTTTACCAACCGTGGCTTGCCTTCCTCCATTATCCCAGACCTTTAGAAAGTTTTCTTATGGTCTAATCTTTATTCCTTTTGCTACCATGTCAGCTACCTTCCCTGCCTCTTTCACACACTCCTTCATCAGCTTCAGCCTTCCTTCCTCTCATTCCTATTCCCTGACTTTCCTCCCTTAAATTTAGAACCCTTGATCCTCTTCCTTTATTTGTTTATTTTTTTAATGTTTTCTTTTCTCTCTCTTTTTTTTTAAGATTTCATTTCTTTATTTGAAAGAGAGAGAGACAGAGACAGAGACAGAGCATGAGCAGTGAGGAGGAGGCAGAGGGAGAGGGAGAAGCAGACTCCCCGTTGAGCAGGGAGCCCGACATGGGACTCAGTTCCAGGACTCTGAGATCATGACCTGAGCCCAAGACAGACGCTCAACCTACTGAGCCACCCAGGCGCCCCTGTTCCTTCATTTAGAATCCAAGATTATGAAAGCTGCAAGGGCTGTCAGATTATTTATTTAACTCTCTCTCTTTACAGATGTGGAAATTAAGGCCCAGAGAAAAAGTCTGATCTGCCATACAGCCAGTGAGTGACTGAAGCAGGACCAGAACCTGGTCTGTTTCCTGTTCAGTTCTGTTTCCACTGTGGCTTTGAATCTTGGTCAATAGACCTGGGTGGGTGTAGACCTTAGTGCTTCTGGGCCTAGCCTCCAGACTCTTGTTAGGCCATTTTGCCCACCTTGGCCTAGTAAAATCTGCACACAGGAGGGACGGAGCTTCTCTGAGGCTCCTACCCAGGTGTGGTAGCTTCCTCTTCCTGACACTTTAAAGAAATCGCTGAATCCACAGGGAGACTATCAGGGGAGATAAAGAATTGGGGTAAAAAAAAAAAAGAATTGGGGTAAAGCTTTTTTTGTTGTTGTTTTGTTTTCTTAAGTAAGCTCTACACCCAAGGTGGGGCTTAAACTCATCACCCTGAGATCAAGAGTTGCATGCTTTACCGGCTAAGCCAGGCAGGCTCCCCTGAGGTAGAGTTTTGAGAGTGACAACCACAGGCTAAGTTTAGAGGACTGAGAGCTTGGAGGTCCTCCCTAAGGACCCACGTGTCCCCTTTTATATCCTATTGCAGGCCATGGTGGCTTTGGCCATGGTCCTTGTTTTCCTGCTGGTCCTGAGCAGAGGGGAGAGTGAATTGGATGCCAAGATCTCATCCCCCGAGAAGGCCACAGAATGGAGGGATCCCGAGCCATCCCTGCAGGGGTCCTGCCAGCCTGCCTCCTCCTGCCGGGAATGCATCCTCTCACACCCAAGTTGTGCATGGTGCAAGCAACTGGTAAAGATGAGCCTGTGGCCTTTGAACCTGCGTATGTGTATGTGCAGAACGGAGCTACGTGTGTGATTGTGGGGGCAAATGTGTGGTTTTCTGGGCGCACTCTGCAGTTCCGTGTGCGACTGAATGTGCGCACACAGGACTCCTGTGTGTGATTGTGTGTGTGTGCGCATACACATGCTTGCCAGGTTCCTGTGTGTGTATGCTTACGTATCTGTGTATTTGTGTATCTTTGGAGAAGACATGTGACCATAAATTTGGAGAAGTATGTCCTCGCTGGAACTCACGCTTGTGCGGGGGTAGAAGGAGCTGCGGCACTTGTATACATGCGAGAAAGTGTATTTGTCAGCTCGGGCGGCATAACAACATACCACAGACTGCTTGGCTTAAGCAACAGGAATTCATTTCTTACAGTTCTGGAGGCTAGGAATCCAAGATCAAGGTGCCAGCCCATTTGGTTCCTCGTGAGAGCCCTCGCCCTGGCCTGCAGTCGGGCTGTAGACAAGCTCTCTGATGCCTCCTCTTATAAGGGCATTAATCCCATCGTGAGGGCTCTCCCTTCATGATCTCAGCTAACCCTAAGTTCTTCCCAGAGGCTCCATCTCCAAATGCCATCATCACATTGAGGGCTAGTCCCTAGCAGAAAGTGTGTGACTGGGTTTCTGAGTCTGTGTTGGGCATGCGTGTGCATAACGTTCCTAAGGTATGTAGCTTCCTGTGGCTGGGACAGTAGAAGGGAAGGAGGTAGAAGTGTGTAGGCTTTGGAGGACAGGTTTGATCTACCTAAGTGGCCAAGAAGGATGCTGGGGAGTGGGTGTCTCCCTGGCTGGTCAAACAAGGCGGTTCTTTATTTGTGCCTTAAAGAGACAGGGCTCATGGAGTGGCAGAGCATGGTGGGTACCTGAGCTGGGGGCGGGGGCAGAACTGTCTCTCCCACAGGAAGACGGAGAGTTAGATCAGAGATGAGGGCAACCTCGCTAGAAGGCAGAGCCACAGAAGCTGAGCGGAGGCTGAGCCAGCCCAGGAGAAAGGCATGTTGTGAATCTGGGAGGACCGGAAGAGGAGATTCCGAGTCAGCACGAGGCAGAGAGCAGGGAGGTGCCAGGCAGACAGGCAGATATGTGTCTGCCTCCTTCAATCTCTGGGCCTAAGGCAGGCACCTGGGCCAGCTGAGAAGCCATTGTAACCATTTCCTTCCTCTGCCACTTTCCAGCCAGTCCCAGAGGTACCAGACACACTGGGGTGGGATGTGTGTGGGGGAGAGTCTCCTCTTCTGTCCCGTCCTTCTGTCCCTGTCCTTCCCCTTCCCGGGAACTTAGCCTGGGTCTTACTTAGCCTTACCCGCTTTCCCGTTCTGGCCTGAGCATGCAGGAGAGGTTGGACTAGGAGGCCAGGCTCCTCCTTTTCTTGTGGTAGTGAGGTCCCTGAGATCTCAACAGGAAGTCTGTGGCCCTGGGGTGGGGGTGAGGGTGGGGGGAGGAGAAGGTAGATGGCTAGGGCAAGGGGGTTGTCTAGATAAGCAGCGGGGAGGTGGGGTGCTAGAGGAAGTGGGCTCTGACCAGAAGGACAGGACCAGGTTGGAGGGGGCTGTGGGGGGGCCGGGGAGGGGAGGGCATCCGCGGGGCTCAGGGACCTGTGGGGGGGTGGTTGGGAGCGGCCTGGATCGCAGGGGCTGGGGGGGGTTCCCTGGGGGACCAGAGTCCCGACGCACCTCCCCTTGGGCTCAGAACTTCACCGCGTCGGGGCTGGCCGAGGAGCGGCGCTGCGGCCGGCGACAGGAGCTGCTGGCCCGCGGCTGCCCCCCGGGGGAGCTGGAGGAGCCCCGCGGCCGGCTGGAGG